CGCTATAGTCACATAAAGTTACAGATTCAAAAATTTTCTAATAAAATTTTCTCTTAATAGTCACATATAATATTAGATTTCATAATAATCACTATCACATTAACTTCATATACGAAACTTATACTAATATTGTAAAAAATTACCCGCTATAATCACATCACTACTTGTGCAACCTAAAAATTTAAAAATCGTAATGCAAATTCAAAAAAATAAATGATTCAATATATTAATACATAGTGATTGTGATAGTAATTTACACAATTAGCTTAGTTACAATGTTACTGTAAACTACTGACTCGTGTATAAAGTTAGTGTGCAGTAAATTTGTTATACAATATGAGATTACCCATATCTAATTAGTTAAATAGGAATGCTGTCCCTTGATTCTTACTAGACCGTTATCAATTTGAATGCTTCTATTAACTGTAATTTAAAGACAAACTATGACTCTACTAATAAGAATAAGATTCATTACCTAAATAGTACCTCTGCCAATATGCTCAAAGATGCTAACTAAAAAAGTACATAAATTAAAATAGAGTAAATGGCAATCCATAAAATTAAAATAGGAAAAACCTGGTCCCAGTTATGTTAATACATATTAAAATAGAAGTTGAAATCCATAAGCCGTTCAAGTTTATTAGTAAAAGAAAATTAAATACTTTATCAAAAAAAGCAAAATAGAATAGAATACTTTTCATTGCATTAAATTAGTTATTGATTAAAGGATAGATTAGATAAAAGATAGAAACTTGTTAAAAAAAAAATGTATTTAAATCTAAAAATTAATAAAAATTATAAGAATTTCTTGAGCGTTAGTTCAAATATTTTTGTCAAATTATAATTATTTTTTTCTTTGGATTAATAATAGTATGTTTAAAGATAATAAAAATAAAACCAAAAAGCATACTAGACTTACAGCTATACAAAAAAAAGAAATTCAAGAAAAAAAAAAAGCAAACCCTAGCTTGCTAGATGAAAAAATTGCTACGGAGTTTAATTGTGACAGAAGCACAGTATCAAAAATACTTAAACAAAAGCAATGGTCTGATATAAAAGAAATTTCGCCGAATTCAAATGCGCTTAAAATAGTTGGCCCTAAATTTCCTCAAGTTGAAAAAGCTCTTGAAATGTGGGTTGGTACTGCTGAACAGCAACAGCTCACACTTACTGGTAATGTAATTCGTCAAAAGGCCCTTCAATTTGCAAAATTATTAAATGTTTCAGAGGATGAATTTAAGGCATCTCAAGGATGGCTTACACGATTTAAAGTTAGAATAGGTCTTCGAAATCATCATATTCATGGAGAGGCAGGAAGTGCTCCCATTGATCTTCTTCCACAATTTCGAGAGGAGCTTCAAAATATTTTGGAAGGTTATGAACCACATAATATTTTCAATACTGATAAATGCGGTTTATATTACTATATAGATCCTAGTTTTTCTCTTTCATCAGTTGCACGAAAGGGTAAAAAAAAGGACAAAACAAGAATTACTGTTCTGTGTACAGCTAATATGAGTGGAACAGAAAAAATTACTCCCTTAGTAATCAATAAATCTAAAATGCCAAATGCATTTCGTGAAGCACGTATTACTTCCTACAATCAACTACCTGTTGATTATCATTATAATGAAAAGGCATGGATGCGTCAGAACATATTTAAGGTTTATATAATCATTTAATTAAATTTATATCAAATTACTTACTATTAATATTTAAATTAATTTTATGTTCTTAAAAAAGCTTTTAAGTTATTAATATATATCAGTTAAATATCACGGCTGAAGCTAGAAATTTTAATTATTTTAATATGAAATTTTCAAAAATTTTTATGCTAGAGTTTAGAGTTAGTTTGGGTAACAAAAGAGTATAAGTAGATTTTGGCAGGGTTTATATTTTTAAATTGAGGTCTCTAATTTCTAGCTTCAGCTACGATATTAAATTACTTACTATTATTATTTCTATTATTATTATTATTAGAAATTTCTTGGTGGTCTCCAAAATAGGTTTAGAATTCAAGAAAAAAAAATTTTACTGCTTGTTGACAATGCTACCTCACATGCTATCGACAATTCCAAAGAGTATCCAAATATTTGTTTACATTTTCTCCCTGCCAATACTACTGCGCACTTGCAGCCAATGGATGCTGGCATTATCAATGCATTCAAAGCTCATTATAAACGCCTCTATATACGTCAAGTGATTAATGATTTTGATGAAGGTGTTGAAGAACCAGAAAAAATTGATGTCCTTCAGGCAATGAGACTAGTAAAAAGTGCGTGGGATGAAATAAGTAAGGAGACTATTATGAATTGCTGGCGCCATACCAGAATATTGCCCTCTAGGCATCTCGCTGAAATTTTTCCAGAAGTAGAGTTAGCAGCTAATGAAGACTTAGCGATTCAAGAAGTTCATATTTCTGAAATTGTTACTGCACAATGTGAGGCCCAAGAAATAATTAACCTAACTGATAGCTCTAATATCCAACAACTTGCACAGGATTATCTTGATAACAATGAATTTATTGCTACTGAGGAGGTGATGGATGATAACTGAATCATAGAATTAATTAGTAATTCAGATGTTGAAGAAAATAATGATAACCCAGTAGAAGAAGAAGAACCTAGGATTACCTTTACTGAAGTCAAAAAAAACATCAATTTACTTCTCAAGTTTATTCGCCAACAATCTCTGCAGCCTGATAGCTTTATCAAAGAAACTGATGAAACTTTTTTTCGTGACTTTCTTTCACGAACCCATAGAGCTTCTACAAGATTGATGAAACAAGGTACACTTGAAGATTTTTTAACCTCCAAATGAACCTGGAAATATTAGAAAAAAACAGTAGATAACTAAAAATAGCTGTGACTAAATAAAAAAAGTTTCAATTCATTTAGTTATAGACTAATTTAATTAAAATCTATTTGATCATAGCGACAGGTTAATCCCGATCATAGTGGTAAGTAATCCTATTAAATTCTTCTATTTTATTATAAATTAATATTAGGTTATTTGGGTTAAAGCAATCTGTAATTTGGCTACATAGTAGTTATTTAGATCTACGAGTAGTTTTCTAATAATGTAATTTTAAATCTGCGAGTAGTTCTTCATATCACCTTTTTTTAAACCATGTTTCTCCACTACCATTATACTATTCCTACTTCGCTCAGAGCTGCTTATTTAGAAGCCTTAAGTTTAAAATTAAGATCAAACATTGCTTAAAAGAATTTTTTTATAAAATGCAAAAAGCAACCTTTATTTCTTATCATTACGTTACACCTTTATTTCTTATTATTACATTACACGCTATTATAAAAATTTGATTGGTTACCGATAGCAAAATTGCATAAAGTCAAATAGCAAAACTGAAATTCATAAATAGCGTGAAACTTTACTATAAAACCCAACCCTTTAGAGATTGTATCTATTGGGAAAACCTCAACCTGTTTATTATTAAATTACCTGGATATCCGGATAAATTACTAAGTCACATAACAGCAATTTCAACTTGAATACAATCGCTACAACTCCTAATCTCTATTCATTATAAAGTTTTATTATTAGAATCTATAGGCCATTTATTCGATTCTAATTATAAAATAAATAGTTTTTTTATAGTTGTTTTATATTAGTCACACTCTCGCTATAGTCACATGAATTGCCAGATTTTATGGTGTGACTATTGC